GGCCTTCTCTTCTGCCTACACTGATCACATATTTTTTTAGCAAACTGGGAAGTAAAATCCTGTGGGTGGGACCCAGGAGACTGTGGGAGTGCTCACAACACTGGCAGAGTTAATTTCTTCCCATTTCATCTTCTTCTTGTCATTATGGTCAAGCTACACTTCTCTTAAAGAGCCTTACTGTGTGAAGAACTTCAGAAAGGATGTATGAGCAGAAAAATCCATCTCATGATAGTGATCAACAGCTTATCCTAAACTGCTTTGTTTGAAACTAAGCTCATTCATTTCTTGGTCCTTATGTTTCTTTCACTACACAGATTAAAAAAATAAAAAAAAAGATTAGGGGACAGAGGGAGAGGATTTAAATATATAGGTATACGCATATGTGTGGGTGTGGCACAGATTTTCATTTTTACCTTTCTCTGATTTTACTGAAAAATTTTGCACAGCAAAATAATTTGAGCTTTTATTACTCTGACTAATTTAATGGAAGGGGCCTCTGCAAACTGTTCCCTTCCTTCATTAACAAAACACATGTGAAGTTGTCTCCTAAATTACATTTACAGAAGGAAAAATTGAAGGCAGCTAGGAAATACTTAGGAATGTTATTTAAGGTTGGCAGACTTCCTAGCCCCTCCCCCCAGTCTTTTTTAGGTAGGTGTTACCGTAGCTCCCCTTACATCTTTCAGCCCTGAGTGGTTTTAACTTACTTTTTTTTGTGTCTCTGGTACTGCTATGAACAGTGAAGTACCAGTTCTGACCAGCTTTAGGCCCAAACAACGGAAGAAGAGAAAGGGAATCTTTTTCCTTTTTCTTTATGATCACCCAACTGAAACTTGGTTATATACCCTCACTGAGAATTTATTTAACTTCTTTCAGAATTTTTCAGCCTAGCATGACACACCTAAAACCCCCAAAAGTAGCAGCACGTTTATGATTTTTTTTTTAATAATTTCTCCTTTCTGCTGCCTGTCCTCAGTTCAGCAAGGCGGTATGTGTTGGGGGGAAAAAAACCTCCTTTGCTGGTGGAGACTCATTAACAGTATTTACAAAGAAGACAAGGTCATCGTGACACCGGGCAAACACAGGGATCTGACTAAATTACAGTACAGTCTCACAGAAAGCAAAGAAAAAATGTAGAAAATCATCAGTCACCAAAAAAGAAAAGTCTTTGGGGAAAAATATGGTGCTTTAAGGGAATTAAATTCAAATTCAAGTTACAATTAAAGAGTTAACACGCTGAACTACGTGGTTAAAGGACGGACAGTGCGGGAATGTTGCAATGTGGAAATGTTTTAGCTACTTTGCTTCTTATCTTTCAAACTGCATTACTTTTCCAATTTCTTGTTTTTAAAAATGTCTTTTAATTTAGCCATTACTATCAATTCCAATAACAAAAACCCTGCAAATTTTTAAATAAAGTAGAGCATTTTTTTATGGCTTCAAAGAAAGGAGAAATACTATAAAACAATACTGTCAAAGCTTTTTTCTTAAAACAACTGCATTAACTATCTTTGAATAATTAACTAAAACCACATTCACCAAGTTTAAGGACTGAAAAGCATACTTTTTTTAACAGCCAACTTGGGCAGAATAAAATACTTGTTCTCTGATACTATTATTTGCAGAAAGAGACTATATGGCCCAAAAAGACTGTGGAGAGTTGCTAGATTCTCATCTGCGGTGCATGTTCCTCTGGGGAGAGGCACTCCTCATGCATCCTCCCGAGTGGGGTCTGGTGAGGCCAAGCCTCCAAGAAAGTTGGTGTTTTCCTGGTATAGTGGTAGCAATAAGGACTTCTAAACTGTTGCAGCCCAAAAGGAATGCAGATGTAGTGATACTTCTCTTGATGCATCTGCTGCATCTTCACTCGAGAGGCTGTTGGGGAGAGCTACACCAAGAAGTGGTGATCCACAAGGTATCACACTGTGACTGAACATCCTGAACATACTCAGGATGTTGTGAGTTTTAACTTTCAGTTCTTGTTTTATTATGTCCATGCTGTACATGTTGAGCCTTACTTGCGTGTTAGCTGTCATAGGACACTGCCAGAACACAGACATCTCAGAATCAGGTTTATCCAGTATCTTTATTTGGACCTAAGCTTTTCCATTCGACCATCTCTGACTCCGTTTTTAGGAGAAACTAATATCCCAGAGGGACCTGCTCTGCAGGTTCACATGGCAGTTGACAGGCTACTGTTTCATTGCTGTAACTGCTGCAAAGTTCAGTACCATCTCATAAAAAGCAGTGGACTTAGCTGTCAATGAAAGTTCATGGTATTAACATACTGGTGGAGAATTTACCCTCTTTTTAGTGGAGTGCATTTTCAGCTTCACGGTACAGAAGAGCAGAAAAAGGCTGTTTAAGAAAGCCCTCTGAGCCAAGAGCATGAGCCTGGGAATGCTTTTGTGGAGATCTTTGTCAGATAATAGTGAGCATTTGGGCCTAGTCTGAATAAAACAGTACCAAATCAACCAGAATCTGGCTTGGTTTGATGCCAAGCCACATCTGTGTTACATGCTTTGGGGGGGAGAGAAGTTGCTCCCTCACAGGTCATGCTGCTCTGAAACCCAGAGGGTGAGGCCCTGAGGTTCCTTCAGCTCCTCTGCCCTTCAGTCCCCCTCCTGCCCCCAGGGAGATGACTGCCTCTGTGCTGCCCCACTCACTGGTCCAGTTGGGCTGCTCCCCAGAGCAGCACCACCCTCCTCCCCATCTTCTGCCCATAGGGACTTTGTAGTGCAAGTGACTAACCTAGTTTATTATGGCCTCAGGGCACGTTGTAGGAAAGATCCTAGACACCTTCAGAAGTAGCTGAAATCAATGAGATCAAGGGTGAAGTGCTCAACCAGTGAGACTCCCAACAAGTACACAGATACCCACTGCCACCCACGCCATCACCCACACTATGTTTTCTGCCAGGTCTTCATATTTAACAGTCCTAACAGAGATGTTCATATGCTCCAGGTCTGCTACCTTGTTTTCATATTCTAACTGCCCCTAAGGCCATGAAAACTTGAACACCAACATATAGTACAGCTCCTGTCATTGGTGTCTCTTCCTTTGCTTAATCATCTAGGGCCTGAGGGCAGACATGAGGGACAGTGATCTGAGCTCTTGTGGCACTGTAGGTCTGAAATGGGGAATGATTCAGAAGGGAGGCATGAGCCAAAACCACCTTGTAGAGGCTGTTGCAGCATAATTGACATATTCAGGATGTTCTTGGGTTTCTGTTGAGGCAGATGTGCTCAAAAGCACTTTTTTACAATAAGTTTTTCAAGTAAATTTAATGTATAAAACTGCAGTTCTTATGCAGAGATATGTCAGTTCCTGCAGTTTGTAGTCACAAGTGTTTCATACAAATAGAAAATATAATACTGAGTTTCAAGTTAAAGAGACTCTAGCCAGGCCCTTAGCTACCTCCAGTCTGCACCTCATGGGAAAATGAATGGTCCCAAGGCAGCAAAATCATGCTGTGATGTGGCAACTGAGTTGATTTAAAGGTTCACCCACTGGCCAGTCCTGCAGTTCCTCTTTGTTTCCCATGCAGGGATGTTAGAAGATTCCGAAGTTGCCCCCTCTCTACAGACAGGGAAGCCAGAACTAGTAATCTGCCATGGGGCACAGAGCAGCAGCAGAAGTCCTGGTAGAAGTGGTGTTCTATATCCTTTTAAGTTGACCTAAATTCTACTTCCTATTTCTCTTGCTCACCCCCACCTGTCTGTATCTTCTCCCTGCTGATACTTGAACCCTCTCACAGCAAGAAGGTGCCCCTCTCTGGCCTGTTGGGGAGGTACTGGGGTGCTAGCACAGGCTTGGGATGAAAGCAGTGACAAGCTCTGCAGGTGCCTGTTCCCCTTGGGTAGGCCAGACATCAGCAAACATCAGCTAACCCTGCCTTAAAGGAGACTCTTCATCTCCTTTATTCCAACCAACCTGTAACAGCCTGGCAAAGGCCACAGCCAAGACTACACAAATGAAAGAATGTGCCTTTGAAAGGCCCTGGGCAAGCAAATCTGTTAGCTGTGGACCTTATGAATAGTAGATCTTTTCCTACCTCCATAGTGAAAATGTCTCTTCTGATTGTCCCCCTGTAAACCAGCCAGCTGAGATTTCTGAGCCTGCTCTGCAAAATGAGATCCGGTGCTGGATATGACTTGCCCAGTGTGCCTGAGTTTGCTCTGGCACAGACATGTTGGAGATGGGCCAGACATATTCTCAGCTGGTTTCCTCAGATTTCTGTGTGAAGGAAACTCCTTCTCAGCTTTAAAAAAAAAAAAAAAAAAAAAAAGGTAGGTTCTAGCCCCCAGGTCTAATTCCCCCTTTTTCCATCTCTGATATATGCACCAAGAGTGAGGGAAGTGCTGCCAGAGTAGGGTGTGTGCATGTGTGTGTGGGTCTTGGGGGTGGTGTCAATGTGACACAAGCCACAAAGTAAAGGTCTCAGAACCCTCCCCATAACCTGAGGCCAGGCCTTGGGTTTGCTCGGCGTGGTACTGAGTAGCTCAGCACCAGAATTACCTCCTGTCCACTCCCATGTGGTGGAGGTTGGTTGGGATTTATTCTCCTAATGCACTGAACAGCTGTTTTTCATAGAACATCTGCACTCATGGGATTTTGAGACAGGACAATTTCAGCAGAGCCCAAAGAAGCAAGCGGGCGAAGTTTTCCTGGGCCTCTGGACCAGATCCTGCTCAGGTGTGACTGAGGAACCTGTAGAATGGGAAGAATTCAGAGGGGACATATTTCAGTACTGATGCCATGTGCTACTTTCCCTCCCCCCTGCTCTGTCACCACCCCACCGATCAGCCTCTTTAACATGACAAAGAGCCTGGAGGAGCGGGCCACGGTGAATATTGCAGTCCCAGGCGGGACTATACCTGCTATAAAGGTAACTGCCTGTCTGTGCTTCGGAGCTACCTCAACTTGCTGGTGAGACCTGCCCCCCAAGAGAAGGTGGCATCTATCAGAAGGTGGGGGATCCACCCCTTCATCTGCTCCCCATGTGCGCGCACTTGGCTCTGCCTCCCTACCAGGCTTACCCCAGCGGGACCGGCATGGGGTACCTGGAGTTTTACTGGAACTCGGCGGGGGAGGCAGGGCATGCTCCCACATCGGCTGGGCCAGCGGGAGCAGCCAGTGCCAAGCAGTCTCCGGAGGCAGGAGGGAAGAGGCACACAGTAGGTAAGGAATTTCAGCTAAGTCCTGGAGCTGATCCCTAGGATACCTCTGGTCCTAGTTCAACCAATTGCTAAAGACTTTGAGCAACTTCTTCTCTCTCCCTGCCCTGGTTTCCTAATGTGTGACCTAGGCAAAGTGTGATGTGATAGGCAAGGAGGATGGCTGACCTTGGGCAGTCATACCACCTTTCCATGCAACTTTTCTTTGGCGACTGTGAACCGGTTTCCTAAACCTCAGTAGAGCCTGCAAGCGTCGAGGCACTGGCAGGTCTGCTCCAGGCTGAAGGGCAGTGTGGCAACGTGGTCTCATGGAAGTTCATGGTTCTTGTGGCAGGAATGTCTGGGCCTCCTTTCAGTCAAATGTTGTCATGTGTGCTATGGAGAGAAACCAATCCTGAAGATACTTCTTGTGGCATCCTTTATCCCCTTACAAACTCCTTGCACCTTTCATGTGCTTATTAAAATTGAGCCAAGGCCTGCTCTGAATCACTGTGCCAGAAGATCTGCTTCCTTTAAATCCAGCATTGTTACTTTCCTGTTTTTTTGCCATTTTCCTCTATTTCCCTCTCCTTTTTGTGCTCTGGTTGCCTTGCCTTTCCCTTTTTGCAAAGAAGTCCCAGGCCCCACCGCAGTGGCATTTTCAGTTCCTGCCATTCCTCTCCCATTCCAGTGAGTGGCAATAGAACAGCTGAGGAAGGCAGGTTTTCACCCAGCCCCGTTGCACGGTCAGCCGTAAATGGGTAAATGGGTGGGAGGAGAGCGAGATTTTGGAGTGCCAGTTTCAAGCTGTCAGTTGCTATTGGAAGCTACAGGCTCAGGCAGAGTGACTAGTGGCTACCTGACATGTGGCTAGCTGCCAAGTAGTTTGGAGAAAGGCTTAAGTTCTCTGCATGCTTCCTACTCCACGAAGGCAGCAGGCAGATGGACTCGTTTGTCCCCAGTGGGCCTGGTATATGGACTTAAAACCCACCTTCAAACAAACACCCTTCTCTGGTACTGCTCTCTCCAGAGAGAGCTCAGTCTGGAAGTGAAGGCCTAGAGGTGTCAGGGGCTTGTGGAAGTGGGTCTGTCACGTTTCTGTTGTACTGCTATTTGTGTTTCTTGCTTCTTCTCTCTTTCACTCTCTTCCCTTGGGAAAGGGAGTGCCTTTGTCCTGAGCTCGAGCTGCACATGGTAAATTCCACGGGGGTTTGGGATGACAAGCCAAGCAGGATCGTATGTAAGCTTTAGTTCTATGGTGTCTTGCTAAGGTTCCTGTCTAACAGGAGACTTTCACATTTTCCATGCCCATATTCCCATCATGCTCATTTCCTACCTATAAGGTTTTTAATGCACAGCCTACAGGAGACAAGAATCCTATAATCCTGCACAATATTTTACCTTCCCATGCAGCCGGGTCACCGATGTTCAGCTTCCTAAGCCTCTCCAGTCTACCCCCATGCACATAAAGGCCCTTGCACCTCTTCTGCTGACAGCCTCTTTTCTCCTCGTAGGCAGAATCTCTTTGTAGTCCTGATGGACCTGCTCCCCAGCACCAGAACTCTGCCCCACTATATACCTGTCTGCTCATGCAGCCCATGCTCTGGGTAGTATCATCTCCTAGGGATGTCAAATGGCAAGAGCAGACAATCCTAGAGTAGCAGGCACCACAGAGACAAGCGTGCTTCTGCAAGGAGCATAACAAGGGGAATTGTACCACAGATGTGACCGCTTTTCTGAGGTCCACAGCACCTCAAGGCTTTTGAGTGATTGCTTAGTAGGCTCTCAGCTTAGGATAGAAGAAGGAAAGGTTTGGTAGGGTTGATGGGAAGCCTGTTCCTCGGGGCGACATCAGTACTTTGCACTGGACATTAATTCGAGAGGTTGAGGAGGGTGTCTCAGTGGGCTTCAGTGTCACAGCTCTCAGGGTGACTGGGAAGGAGGTTGGGAGATATTGGTTGGGCTATGTAGTCAGAAGGTGTGTACTGAAATGGCACTGCCCCATTCACTGCACTCCCTCCCTCCTGAAATGTCAGTAGAAGGAGAGGGGATGGACCATGCAGAAGTGTTCGCAGAGGAATAGCTGGAGGAAGGGGACATGGGCAGACTTATCATTGCAGTTATGGGGAAGAGGGGTGTCTTCCCCTTTCAGTCAGGGCTGGCCTAAGAAGGTCTCAGCCTCTCTCAGATGTCAGTAACCAGGCATGTGACAGAAAGGAGCTAGAATAATCTCTCTTGTTACCATTTTCCTATTCCTTCAGCCTGAATGACTTAGCATTTTGGCAGCTTTTGCCTGCACTGGTAGCCTAGATTGTTCAGGAAGTTTTTCCTTTAGATGTTTATCTCAACTCCTTAAGACCAGGACAAATGAAAAGGGGCTTGGATGCCTTCCTCTGCACTCTTGAATTTTGTCCTCTGTGTCCCTGCTACAGGATTAATGGCTCACCTGTCCCACGCATCAACCTTTCCTCTCTGTCCCCACTTCCACGTCGAATTTCTCCTCTTCATTCTCCCCTTGCCAAAAGCTCCCCTCAGCCATGTATACATGTGTTTTCAACAGTGGCGTGGTCTGTGGTGGAGATGCAGATAAACAGGACTAAGTCAATATTCAAGGTCTGACTGATGCTCTACACCTGCCATCCCATCATTGTAAGCACCAGCTTCTCTGCCCCATCACACACTCTGGTGAGAGGTTGCTTTGCCACTGTCTATCAAATGCCTCGATATTGCTGGGCAGGCAGTTTTGGGGAGCCCAGTCACCAACCAAAGCTATGCTTGCAGTCACGACCAGGCCTCTTTACACCACACAGAAACTGAAATATTACTGAGGCCTTTTGGAGGAGGATAGTAACACTGTTAAGCAATGTGCACAACTGTCCTCTCCCTGCCCTGAATTTTCTGCCTGGCAAAAGGGAGGCACAAGCACCCCAGAGGGGTCTGAGCTGGGAAATTGCTCATTGTCAGTGTACTTATCTGTGCTCAGATCCAGGAAGAAAGGAAGGTGACACAAGCCTTTGCTTCAAGAGAGCAGGCAGGGAGCATGCTCATACTCATACAGCTCTGTGTTCCATCTTGTATACTGTTTCCCATTGTCTTTTTATTTACAGAAATATCCCCGGCTTCATCCAGTTCTGGGAATTTCAGCCAACTCACACCAGATTCAGCCACCAGTCCACATTCGTCATCCTTGTCCCCACAGCCTACAGCTAAGTCTCAGAAGGGCAGAGAATGTGGCATGGAGGGGATAAGGAAGACCAAGAGCCGTACAGCTTTCTCCAAGGAGCAGCTGCAAACCCTGCACCAGCGGTTCCAGAGCCAGAAGTACCTCAGCCCCCAGCAGATCCGGGAGCTGGCTGTCGCTCTGGGGCTCACCTACAAGCAGGTGAACACGGAGACTTTGACCCACGGTATATCTATCTCACAGTGGCTGAATGGTCACATGCAGCAACATCAGCAACAGGATGGAAAGATGAGTCACCAGCAGAGAGTAGAGGCAAAGGTGCCATCTAACAGTTGCTCTCCTGCTTATTCATGCCCAGAGATCAGAAGTACTTTTGTGGATAGGAGAGCCAGTGGCACCTCATTTGGGCCTCCCCAGCCAGGGGTCAGTTAAGGATTCTTTCCCAACACTTGTAGTAGAATTGCAAACCCACTGATGAATATGTTTTTTGCTGCAAACAGTCTCTACCCTGGGCTTGACAGCACTTAACAGCTTTTTCCATGCACTGTGAACTTCACAGAAACCCTGGCAGGCATCAGTTCTCTGAATCACAGGGCTGCAACAAGCTGAAAGCTACTGCCAGTGTTTCCCAGAGCTGATCTTGTCCAATATCTAATAATGTTCCACACTCAGCACTGCACGGCTGCTTGACACCTGCTCCCCTCTCCATTTGAGTACTGTGAGGTTCATACATCAGAGCTCTTCAGGGTCTGCTAAGCTCCAGGTAGGTTGTGTGTAGTGAAATCATGCTGCCTCGAATGATGCCTTCCTAAAGCAGAGGGGGCTGGGCAACAGGGCACAAGTGCTTGCAGTCACAAGTCTAAAATGTACCTAGAACTTAGATCTCAAAGCTGGACATGGCCTGGATGCCCCGGGACTAAAAAGTTATACCCGCACTGTGGGTCCACACATAACACGCACACACAGGAACTGGTTCTTTCAGGAACAAGACAGGTGGGACAGTCTGCTCTTTCCTTCAATCCACATCCCTGCAAGGCTGCTTTCACAGCACAGACACAGCCCTGGGGGGAAACGGCTCTGGAATTCGCCCCAGCAAGGAGCTTTGCATTTGGGAAATGCTGGCTAAAAGGAGCAAGTCTCTCTCTTCTCTCTTGGCAAACATGCAGAAACAGTGTCTTAGAAGTTTGCCTGTAGTGCAGGGAGCTTTTAGATCCATCGGTGGGTCTGATTTGCACCAGCAGTCACCTCCGTGATTGAAATGAGTTGATTTGTCACAACCATCGCTGTCCCTTGACATAAAGCCAGCCCCTCCCCCATCACACAGTTGCACTAGCCACCCACTGAGGCTGCTAGACAGACCTCTCCCCTTGGCAACAACCCCAGGGAGCTCTTAAAAGGCCTTTATCTGGTGCTGCCCATGTATCTATGCCATCTGGTCACTCTTCCCCTGGTTCTTCCTGCTTTTGGATTTGATAACATCTCTCTCCTTTGCCAACATTTTCTCCGCTTTCCCTTCCCCCCCTTAGGTGAAAACTTGGTTCCAGAACCGGAGAATGAAGCTGAAACGGTGCCAGAAGCATAGCCTGTGGACTGAACGGGCTCAGTGCCTCACACAAGTAAGAACACGTCACATAGCTCATCATGGCTCTTCTATCTGTGATGTATTTCCTCCTTGGGGGCAACCTAAGCATACAAGTATCAGCATACCCTGCCTTCTGCTTTGCTCAGCACAGAGGCACAGACTTGGCATGCACTGTACATAGACTCTACATGCACTACACATACATGTACATGTACATAGACTCTACATGCACTACATGTACACACACTCTACATGCACTGTACATAGCCTAGAAATGGGCTGAGTATGCCATGGAAATGTTTCCAGAGAAAAGTTCTTTTCCTCGTATGTATGTGTGTGTATATATCTATATATATACATATATATGTATGTATGTATGTATGCATATATGTATATATACAATTGTGGATATGGTTCTTCTTGCCCTCCATGCCATTGCTGCTGGTCAAGAGACAACATGATATGTGAAGGGACAGAGCCTCAGAATGTGTCAGGCCTGTGGACACCAGGCTGTGTGCTGACTCACTGTCTTTCCTTTTCAGAGTGGCTTCCAGACCAGTACTTACCTGGATGTGCACCCCAAATTCCACCAGGGCTATCCAATCACTGCAGCTGGCAACATGCAAACCATACCTGCCCCCTGTCAGCACTATGGGGCAGGGCAGAATGCTTACACAGTTGTGACCAGCGAGGATGGAGGCGTCTTTGGCAAAGGCGGGGGTACCTGCAGTATCCAGCAGACAGTGGGCTTCATTGCCCAGCACAAAGTAGACTTTTACCACAGCTGTCCTGGCAGTGTGGAATATCCAGGCTCAAAGACAGGTGATGGCTGTAATTTTCACCACTCAGCCACTATGGGGGCTCCTTTCCCAACCACTACTGGCCACCATCTCTATCATTCCTAAGCACTGTGGATGTGGGTCACTTGGGCAGCCAGGAATTGAATCTTATCTCTCCCTTTGTAATTCGTGTGCTCTCCAACTCAACAGCACCCTGTAGCTAGAACCTGTTTTGACATCTGAATATGTGCCTCCAAGCATGTACAGACACACAGACACACAGATACCTGTTTGCCCATATATACACATACAGCCCTTCATTCGTAGGCCCTTACACTTGAACACACACACTCCCTTCTTGATTGGCACAGATAACCAAGTTCTCATAGCAAGACCCACGATCTGGCTACAAAGCTTATTATGCCTTGGATCTTCTAAATTATGGATCTTGTAACTTGTCTCAGATGAAGCACAAGTTCCTTTGGGGATCTCATTTGTACATATCACTGTACACGTGCATATATAACACGTGAAGCCAGGGGCTGTATGGAGAGATGCTGGTCACATACCTTTAACTGAAGTTTGAGAAGTTATTGCCACGTGCCAGTTATCCATCTGATGTTTAGACCACCAGTTCTGTAGGTCAGCCATGAGGAATAGAATTGATGAAGTGTCCAGTGAAGGGAGATGTGACAAGCAGTTTGCAGGAAGGCTGGTAAGATGATCTTATGAGCATCAAAATCATAAATAAGCCCTTCCTTCTAGTTTGTATTTTTCTGCTCCTCCCCTTGAGAAAATCTTAACAGTGCATTCAATTCGGCAAATAAAAACCCATATTTTTAAGATGCACTATGTATTTCTCTGTATCTTTTTTCTACTGCAATAGATCATTGCAACATAAATAGCCATAACAATCACGTGCCATTGTTGTTACTGTTTTGATGCTGAAAATAGGTCGACTTCATGACTCTTGGCAATGGCAGATACCTAGAGTCAAAGAACTTCCCACCTTAAGAACTTCCCCTACCCAGCAATATTGAATACTGAGACTGTTACAGAGGGACTATAATTTCTAAACTTAAGACTATATATTGTCTAAATACCTAAAAACAGATGTCTGTAGCAAAGTATACTTAATAACAGGCCTCAAGTTCCCTGAGTCACAGGTCTTCTATCACTTCTTGATGATGACAATGACTTTCACTTAATGCAATGAAGTAATTGTCATGGCTCAAAAAACATGAGCATAAATGAAGGCAATGATTTCTGTGACTGGAGTAATAAGATGCATGTTCTTCTATTGGCAAAGCTGATTTATGTCTCTGCGCCTCACAGCTGTTTGTTCCCACTCCTCATGCAGACACTCTTTGACCTTATTGTAAACTGTGCAGTGTGCTGGTTTTGGCTGAGTTAATTTTCTTCACAGTAGCTAGGATAGGGCTATGTGCTGAAAACAGGGTTGATAATACAGAGATGTTTTCATGAGTGCTGAGCAGTGCTCGCACTGTGTCAAGGCCTTTTCTGCTTCTCCTTATCTCCCTGACAGTGAGAAGGTTGGGGTGCACAAGGACTTAAGAGGAGACACAGCTGGGACAGCTGATCTCCAACTGATCCAAGGGATATTCCAGACCATATGACATTGTGCTCAGTGTATAGAGCTGGTTGGATAAGAAGAGGGGGACGTTAAGCAGTTTTTCTAAGTAACCATTATGCCTGATGGGGCCTTGATGTTCCAGAGGTGGCTGAACCCCTGCCTGCCCTTGGGAAGTGGTGAATTAATTCATTGTTTTGCTTTGTATGTATGTGTGTGTCTTTTGCTTTACCTATTAAATTGTTTTTGTCTCAGCCCAAGAGCTTTCTCTCTTTTACTCTTCCAATTCTCTCCCCTGTCCCAGTAGTAGAGAGTGAGTGAGTGGCTGTGTGGTGGTTAGTTACTGCCTGGCATTAAACCACATTTTATGGCCAGCATGATTTGAGGAAAAATAAGAGGTTTTGGATGGTGAATTTCCAAGTCATATAATTTTGGCATAGAACCCCGCCCCACCCCCTACAGCCAGCAAGTGGCTAAGGTTGGGAAAGACCTGCAGTGCACTTGCAACAATCAGAGGGGTGGGGATCAGTTAAATTAACTGAAAAGATGCTGATTAACATCTGAAGACGGACTACAATAGCAACAATTATCAGGGCTCTCTCACCTGTGTAAGGATTTTTTCAGTCCTTCTGGAGCCAACAATGCTGTTTACTCACTTGAATATCATCTGAAACCTTTCCATGCCACCCCATCAAAGGCAAACGTAGGTGAAATAGTTGAGCTTGTGACTGCTCCTCACTAATAATTCTCTGGAGAAGGAGATATGTGCTCCTTCAGAGATCCTTTAGGACAGGCAGGATCTTGCTGTTAAGTCTCTGGGACTGACTTGAAGAAAGATGCTGTCTCTAAGAGCAATGGTTGTGATCTCCCTGCTATTGACCTTGACAAAGTAGTGCTAACAAACACTACCAAATCTTGCCGTTTCCTCAGAGACACACAGAATTTCTCAGAGGCCATCATTCAAAGACAGACCTTATTGCTAGAGGTGGTTCTGGAGACCAAGAGTCTGCAGCAATTCCAAGAAGCAAATAAGCAACTTCCAGGAAGGGAACCTGTTGATGTCTGCTGTATCAGGAGCTTCATTACCAATGTCCTGTGTGAAAGCAGCAGGAATGCAGCTTCTGTTAGATGCAGTCCTTCAGCCTCAGCCAGCCAGAGGGACACTGAGGACTTCAGTTTCTTTTCTGGTCCTTCCCTAATATCTAAGCAATGACTTGGATGGATCTCAGGGCTCACACAATGCAGAATTCCCAATGTTGTAATTGGTAAAAGATTTAATGGTTTGAACACAGCCCAGCTGTGAGAGACACATCCTTACTGTGAGCAGATGGACTTCCATCAAATGGGAGAAATTAATTCTAGCCTAGTTATGAAAGAGATTCACAGATATGACCTGAGGGTGCTCTTCAAAACTTTGGACAGCACGAAGATAACATGGCCCTCCACAGGAAAGAAAAAAAAATTATTTTTTTTTTATGTCTAAGACCAGTGTCATGATTTTGGGTCCTTCCTGCCTCATGACTATTCAGTATCAGCTAATATGCTGCTGCCCTCTGATGATGGGCCAAGCAAGAGATGTGGCAACACTTTACTGAAAATTTCCAAAACCCTGTTAGCTCAGCATTTGAGTCACATGGTGTACTTAGATAACTAAATATGTTTATATATGCCTGTAGAGAAGAGCCTATTAAAGCAAAGATCATGACCTTTATCTGCACTGGGGAGACAACTAGGGCTGTGAGCTCTTGCTCATGGGCCACTCAGAGGAAACACGGAGCTTGTAAAACATCTGTACAGGCCATGTTGACACAGAGAGCAAGGAATGCAGTTGCTTGCACCACTCTACTTGCTTGGTGTTTTGCCTATGGGACAGCAAAGGCTGGAACCCAGTAAACTAGAGAATAAACTATGGTCTACATAACATATACTAGATCTAATTTCTTCTGTTTGAGTGTGATTCTCTGTATAACTGGAACTACATCTGCATCACTGACAAACAGGAGTGTTGACACTGCAGAGATACTCTGAAAGCAATACAGTGTATTCCCACAAGCTTAATACATATGAAAAACTCCAAATGATCTTACAGTTTGATCCTAAAAAGATTTGCTGGCAAGGCACATCATGTTTTCAGTGTGTAGAAGTCACTGTTACACAGAACAGTCATGAGAAGCAATAGTCCTAACAGAGATGTAATGTATCCTAGCAGAAAAAGCTTTTCCTGGCATGCACTTACTTCCTCTGAGGAACTGATACAACCCTTTTTTTTTTGGCAAGTATGAGTCTGGAGGGATTAGTTGCATCTCCACCAGTTTTGGTAGTAATGCCCAATTACCTGTGCAGTTGCTTCACATGGTGATGGGATTCAGACACTTCAAGATAAAAGATGAGATTGCCAGCACTGCGGAAAGGCAGAGTTCTACTTAATTCCACAGCCTCTAGAAACACTTTCTGAGCTAGCAGCAGTCCTTTCCAGCCCACCTGCCAAAATTCCAACAACAGCTGCTCCGCATGTTACCTACAGCTACATATGCTTACCAAACCTGCATGCAACCCAGGCTGAGCAACCAGGGGATTAACAGACCTGTGAGGGAGCACTCCATGGTAAATGCAGTAACACAGACCATAGCATGCAGAGCAATCTATCTCAGCCCCAGGGCTGTTTTAGCAACAATATCTGTTTCTGTAGAAGGACATCTGCCAGCAAGGCTGTCTCCTTACCCTTGGAGCAGAAATATGGAAATAAAACATATCCAAGCAACATAGGTAAGCTGCAGCAAGCACCCTCTGCAATCATTCTGCAAAAACCTGCATACCTTGGGTATTTCTGTAGAACTAAAGACTGCATCTTAAAAAAAGAAAATAAAAATGCATAAGCTACTAATTTTAAAGCTGAAAGACAAGGCTTTAATATCTATGACTTTTATAGGTATATGGTTCAGCTCAATTTTTTTCAAGGGAATTGTTGAAATTAATACTGCTGCTAGAGAACTACTCAGAATACAGACAAATTGAGGTTGGGACATGAATGCCCAGTCAGGATGAGAAAGGATTTCTTTTCTGTAATACAGAAAATCATGTTAACCTGGCATTTCCCCCTCTTTCAGACATTTTAACTTTTTCTGTTTAAGGTTGGCAGCCCACACACATGGATGACTCAGCCTTTCTTCCTCCTCTATAGGCTCAACCCTCCAGTTTCTCCTTCCTGTACCTATTGTACTCACCCTTGGAAGTAGAGGATTACAGTGTTGCAGAAGAAAAGGGGATATGCTTTGGCACCCACACAAGCAGGTTCTGTTCAGCAAAGGACCTGTAGCAGTTTGAGCCTGAGCTGTCAGCTGCCACTTCCACTAATAGTGTTCAGTGAGAGTACCCATTGAACTACCCCTTTCAGACAGATGAAGGCTTCATTGGTGTACTGTACCTTAAAGAACCTGGGATTAAACCAAAACACATAATTTCTGCTAGTTTAGACTATGGCTATTAATAGGAGCTGGGTTCTGTTTTGGTTCCAATGGCAGAGGCAGGATTCAGTTACCTACACAGACACTTCTGTCCATTTGAGGTTAGCACAAGGACCCCAAGGGAGCTGTAGCCTCAACGAAGCAGGATACCAGACCACTAATTGTGACCCTCCAGAGCAGCAGCAGGTTACCACACAATCTTAAAAAACGTTTTCTTATTCTTCTATCCTCATCCTTCAATACTTCTTGTAAAGCATTACAGTTTAGGGGCTCATACAAGCATGTTACAAGGCTGCACATTACTTCAAGCCAGCTTGTCCAGTTGCCCAGCCCTGGAGCTTCCCTCCTACCTTGCACTAGGCAACACACCTATATGATAAAAACAAGGCTGGTGGATTTCTGTGATCTACTCCTTTAGAACAGTTGATTGATCCTACTTCTGGGAGAAACACAATAAGGTTACTTTTTTATTCCTTCCCTCACTGCAGGTCTAACCTGTGTAGAATAACCATTCTCAGAGCAGGCTATTTCAATGCAAGCTGGTGACACTATTTCAACATTAAAATAATTTATTTTCAATTAAAACAAATTTGTAAGAACATTAAGAACATTAAACAGGATCATGAGAACATCAAGAACATTGCACATAACATAGAACATGCTTGATATCAGTGCAAAAAAACCTAACAAAAACGTCCACTTTATGAAAAATTATTCTGCAACATTAAGAACATTAGGCAGAAACACAGTAATAAAAGACAACATGCACATAACATAGAACATACTTGATATTACTGCAAAAAAACCTAACAAAAACACTACTTTATGAAAAATTATTCTACAACAACAAGTGTTTGCCTTCTTTGCAGTGAAAGCTCTGATAGGAGATACACGGCAACGATCAGAGATTACCTGCTAAACAGGCAGCAAAGGAAGGCGAGACTTGAACAACACACAAACCTTTATAACCTCTGCTACTCGCAGCTGTGGCATTGCACACTGACCTTAATGAATGAGGTTTCATCTTATCCACACACAAAACACCTTTGCCAAGGGTTAGCTCTGAACAGACAAGCACTTTTAAATAGAAAACTAGCCCAAGTCAGCAAGGTGCTGAGCCCCTCCTCCGGTGGTTAAAACAGCAGTAGGACAAGACAAAAAATAGAATCTATATCCCTGAGCCAAGACCCTGGAAACTCCATGAGCAAACACAAGAAAAGGGAGCAAAAAATACTTAAGCCTGAGACTCATAACCACTCTGGGCCCCCATGGGATGCCAAGGGACCTGGCATTGATGCTGTATAGGAGAGCTCAAAAACGGTGTGACAGTGTCAGAAGTACTCTGGAAGCCGTAGGTGTCTTGTGACTCCAGGCTGACATAATCCACGTTGTCAGAGTAGCTGTGATAGAAGTTCATTGGCTGGCTTAATAAACCCACAGCTTGCTGGGTATTGCAGCTCGTCCCACTTTTTCCAAAGAGCCCCTCATCCTCCACAGCCACGAATGAGTACAGGCTCTGCCCATTCCCGTAAGTCTGTCCACTACTGTAAGCCTGGTGCATGTTGGTCGTAGCCTGAAGGTTTCTGCTCGCACCGACAGGGAAGCCCTGGTGATATGTGGGCATTATATCCAGGTATGCAGCCTGAGGAGCCCCATTCTAGGAGAGACAAAAAGGGTTGTTCAGTAATGCAGAGCACCACACCAATTGCCCATTCTTATTGGTAGGTTCTCCTTTTTCGTCCCCTGACCCTCCTGTAAGCCAAACAATAGCGCCTTTTTCATACTATAGACCAGTAATAGCAGAGGTGGCAGGATCTACTGTTAGTAATCTCCAGATCAACGCGTCTGGGAGAACCATGAGGGTGTGAAAACCAGCAAATAGCTTTGCTAGACGTCTTTGGCCGTTTCATTTCTCTCTCTCTCAACTGAGAGATAAGTGGGCTGGAAACAATGCTCTTTCAGTGCCAAGGCAAGCTTAAAATAGATGCCACTGTAAGCCCTATTACGATAAATGCAACTGGATTGGTAATATCGAATCCTGTGCATTGTTTGAATTAGCAGGTTAGACATGATGCACTTCTCTTCACAGCCTGGAGGAACCATGACTGGTGGTGATGGGGAAATTTACTCACCTGTGGTAGATACAGCCCTTTTTCCACCCACTGGCTCTCCTTTTGGCAACGTTTGAATTTCATCCGTTGATTCTGAAACCATGTTTTCACCTAAAAGTGATGGGGAAAGGGCATAAGAAATTGGAAATTCATTCTCAAAGCTTACTGCATATCCCAAAGATGTTTTTCCTTCTCCCTGGCTTTTAATACTGTACATAATTTCAGCAGCTAACAACATGCAGCAGACAAGGTAGCTGCGAAATCAGAGGTGAGACATGAAAACTAACACTCCTACTCCTCAGATCACCACGGGATCTTCCATGATTTCAAAAACATTACCCAAAAGACAGGCCAAGACAGAAACACAGCTTGTACATCAGCATCATCTCACTGCTGCGCCAAGATCAGTGCTCAGGACCGAGTCATTCCTTCAGTCAAACAAGCAGCTGGTGGGGCAAGGACCCTTTCTCTAAGGAGAGGCCCAGGTGCCACTATGACTAAGAAAGGTAACTTGCATAGCAGTGCAAGTATCTGACTTGTGGCGTTCAGAGACAATACGTGTCCATACAGAACAATAACCTGACTCCACATGGCTCTGCTTTGCTGCTCTGCGTGCCCTTTGAAACACCTGCATGGAGTGGGAGGGTAGTGCTGGAAGCATACATAAGAGGAAGACTGAGTCATAAGTTTTGCCAACCTCTCCTCTCACGTAAGCAATAGCATAAACGTGATCATGAAAGAAACTTACCTTTGAGGTTTAAGAAATGAGAAAACCACCAAACCCAACCCCCCCCCCCCACTTGCTCTCAAGGTCATTTCATGCCAGGGATGCAACTCAGCTGCTCAGGGCAAGATGTTCACCTGCTTGTAGGTGAGCTGAAGGGTAGCAGCCAACTCCCGAATCTGCTGGGGACTGAGGTACTTCTGGCTCTGGAACCGCTGGTGTAGGGCTTTAAGCTGCTCCTGCGAGAAGGCTGTGCGGCTCTTGCCCGTCTTCACCACACCTTTGCCTTGCGCCTTGACCTTCTGGAAAGAGGAGTGGGGAGACGGGGTTGCTGCTGCGGTGGGACTGGTGGCAGAGTCAGGGCTGTAGTACTGGGTGAGTGTCCCAGAGCTGGAAGAAGCTGGAGAGTCATCTGAGGAGAGAAGACAACTGGTGTGAGGGGAACCAGGGAGAAAAGACTCAAAAACTTTAAATTCCAGCTTCTCGGGAAAATTTAAGGTTGCGGATGCCCGGGGACTCGCAGGGGCTCCGCAGCTGTGGGCACAGGCAGCGTCGCGACAGAGGAACCGAGACCCCTTGCTGTTCGCCCCTCTGCCCCGTCCGGTCTGGGCAGAGGGGTCACGCTGGGGCCGCCAGCAGCACCCCCGGCTCCCGCCGTCGCTCCCCTCGGGCCGCCGGCGGAGCATCCCCGCCGGGGCAGGGGGCCGCCCGCAGCATCGTCATCGCCCCTCATCCCGCGGGCAGGAGGGACACAGGGGACACAACTACCCTCAACCGAGGGCAGCCCGTCCGCTCCGCCGGGGCCGTACCTGGGGGACTGGACGTCTTCTCCGTCGTGGGTAAGGGTAGGGCGTCCGTCGCCGGAGCCTCCTCGGCGGGCACGGTGTCCGTGTTCCCTGGAGAGAGCCAATAGTAGTCCCCACACAGGACAGGTGGGTAGGACAGGCAGGACGGCGTGGCCAGGTGGGAGCTCATGGCCGGGCCGGGACCCCCAGCCCCAAGCATGTGGCGCTGTGGCGGCGGAGGAGGCAGGCAGCCCGCGGTCAAGTGCCCCATTGGACTGAGGGGGGAGGGGGCGATGCTTTAAGTCCTCTCCAGCCTGGCCTTGGCTGGAAGGTATTGTCATGGCCATTGTCATGTTAAAAATTGGTTGATTGGTGGGGAGGGACTTTAGGTGTATTCAGGGACTGGGGGAGGGCTGGGACACCAAGCCCCGATTCCCAACTTGGCCCCTAGGTGACACGGTGGGTGTCATCCCTCCCTGCTAGGGGGTGGGAGGAAGGTCGCTGCCAGAGCCCGCCGCGGGGCAGAGACTTTATGCGTCTTTATGCAGAGACTTTATGCGTCTGCATTGCATCATTGCAAACAGGTAAGACCACCTCCCGGCAAGAGAACCCAGACGGGACACAGCGGGGACGGCGCTACCGAGCGATGTCTGTATTGCGGGGAAGAGGGCTCAAAGAAAGCCAAGCCGCTTCTCTCAGAGGCTAGCCCAAGGCTGAGTCAGGCAGTCCTGCTCTGCAGTGGCACAGAGAAATAGCACTTCACCGTTTTCAAGTTTCTTTCCCCAGCCACTTGAGCCTTTTTTCTTTTAAAAGTGATAGCTTAAAAAAATAAGAAAGGTTCTTTTTGCTATGCACCAGGGAGAGGTGGGAATCACCGGGTCAGATTCAAAAGGAAATGAACACTGCACCTGTAAAAGAGCCTTACAGATCTTAAGGATTTGAAGTCAGGGCCTAGAGTCTTCTTGGGGAGCATAAACTGCTCCTCTTCCCTCCTCCCCAGATTACTATTTACTTTTAGGAAATTAAAAACTTATCGGGAGGATCTTACAGCCCGGGAATTACAAAACCTGGAAAACCTCCTGGAAGACTTACAAATAAGGGCATGTGCTGCATTAAGCAAATTTTTCACCTCCGCCAGTGCAAGGAAGCAGGACACACACCTACCTGTGTACAACTGCAGGGGAGCAGCTATTGGCCCTGTTGCATTGCAAAACATCTTTAGGAGCTTAGAGAGAGGGACTTCCTTTGGTTTCCTTTTATCTCCTCCTCCCATCTTGAATCGTGATGAGAAATGAGCCCCAGCTGGTTCCCTGAGCCACCTGCAAGGGTCCTTGCCGGGCCTACTTTTGATCGTCTCCTAACTAATGGTGATTTCATTTCTCGGAATCCGGACAGGATCCAGTCAGACACATGATTAGGAACGGGAGGAGGCGAGGGGCGGGAAGTGATTATAATCAGGCGAGAGAGATGAAATACAGAACGAGAACCAGAGCCTGCTTCTGGCCCCGAAAGCAAGCAGTATCGGGCAGGGGGTTGCCCCAGGCTGTGGGTTTTGGGCAGGTCGCTTGCTCGGTGCCGCCAGTGCAGATGCATGCACGGGAAGAGATTGCCCCTCGAACACGCAGCCATCGTGCTGCCCTTTGCGGGACAGAGGGCCGCCGGTCCCCACGGTCCCCTGCTGTCAGGGCTGCCCTGGGACACGCGTGAGCCCTGCGAGGGCTCTCCGAGTTCGTCAAAACCTTTGCAAAGACGGAGAAAAACACAGGGTCTCTACAGGGCACAGCCCTTGCGTTTGGCCATCCCAGAGGCTGCAGGAACCCCCGAGTCGTCCGAGGGGACACGGCTGGCGAGGATCAACTGCAGCAGAGGGATTAGACTTCTACAGACCGAGTAACACCGCCTCCGCCAGCAAATCCTCCCTCGGAGAGCTCTGTGTGTGTGTTTGGAAACGCAGCAGGACTGCTCAAAATTTGCAATTTTCATACATAGATCAGTTTTCACATATAGATCAGATTCTGTCCCAGAGTCACATCTGTTTTGTAGTGTGCATGGGACTTTTTTCTTTTCTTTTCTTTTTTTTTTCCTGCCTGTGTTCATCTTTTTTTTTTCTCATCCCACTTGTCCTCCATTACCTTTGTTTTTATGCTTTAACCATCAAGTCTTTTTTCTTTTCCACATACAACCTTCCAGTGAGGATAATTCGCTCTCTCTCCTCAATTATACCTCTAATCAAGTGACCAAACATATATTTTTTAATGTCATTGTGAGAGAAACAAGACTTGTGTGATAGATAAAACTATACCATCTAAAGTCATAATTTATTTAGGAAATCAAATTATTTTCCCCAAAATAAATGATACACATAAAAACATACTGTGAAGGTAAATCCAGAAGTTATACAGACACAAAGAATGCTATGGGAAACATGATATAGATGTTTGAGAAGCTCTCCAGGGTGATCAGGTCTGGAACATTGCTTGTGGCACCATTAGCCTTCAGACTGGCTATACTGCCCATAAAAGTCCATGCTGTTCTTTTAAAAAATATCTGTTGGGAATGACTCACAGAGCAAACACAAGTATCCACTCGTGTTTCTTTTTGAGCTGTTTTCAGCTGGAACAGCAACAGAGGTCAGATCTAGTATAATCCTGTTCTTCCCAACAGGGCCAAATAGCAGAAACAATTTCGGTTTTGACCTAAGGTTGTGTCCCCCTCTCCCCATAAATTGGCTCATTAAGTATCTGGAAATGAATGCAGCCACTCACTGGGCTGTAGCATACCCTAACAATCCCTTTCTATAGAGCTTCAGCAGCAAAGATAGAAGTTCAGGTCCAAAAGCAGCCTTGGCCTCTTGGCCTAAGCAAGGTGAGACAGGACTGTGCATAAAGATGTTTTCATCCAGCAAGTTCCCCCTACAAGGATCTCCCATTATTCTCAGTAAGGGAATTCCTTCAAAGGACTGGAGCTCAACCTTGCTCTGAAGTGATGCAAATACACCAATTTACATAGGCTGGAACTGGGGAAGCAGCAGCTGGATGATACTGTAAATCCAGCTCTGAAGTTCACATCGCTGGGTCAGAAATGCTAGGGGTTCCTACCTCAGTGCATTCCTAAATTCATTTCCGTGAACAGGATAATGTTATACCAGTAGAAACTGTCTCAAATTTTACGTACATTAGGTACTCTTCTGTCTTCCTCCACCTAGCTTTAATGTGGGTTATCTGTGTTTTGGAAAATACTGTGAAGTGTCACTGTGTGTCGCTGTATCATTCTGCTCATGTTCCTGGGGCTCAGCGAGATGGCAGGGTGCTGGCTTGGTATTAGTGAACAGGGAAGCATGGCCTGAGCCCTGCTGTCCCCCGAAGGTTTTCCTGAGAGCCATCATCCTCTGACAGGGATGTGTGTGGTTGGGGAAGGTAGGTAGAAAGCCCCACCTTGTGTTTTGTTGAGCCTGTCTAAGCTTTTCTCCCAGACAGGCACCTTTAATTTTATAATTTCACTTTTTTTCTAATTGAACATTCCTCAGGTTAAGTGTATGAAAACATTCCTGCCCTGCAGCCCTCAGTACTCTCACAGCCCTTGACCCTGGACAGCCTGTCCCCTCTAGCTGTGGTCACAGCTCACAGTCTGGACCCAAGATGCCAGATTGTGAAATGAAAGGAATCAAGAAAGAATAACAAAAATTAGACCCTCATTCATATTAAAATATAGTTTTCCTTTTTCTTGACTCTTTAGGGGAGCAGGTAGAGAAAAGGACAAAGCTTCTCCCTCCCACTAACCACCCAGTCTCTCAATGCCCTGTTAATTACTGGATGATGTGGCCCTTTGTTAGCAGTGGAGAGGCAGACTTGCACAGAGGAGCCATGACACAAAACAAGGTAATTCCCTGAAAAGGCAGGAAAGCTGGGTGCCAAAAAGCAGGTGGGAAGCAGGTTAGTGAGACAACCCAAATTTTAAGGGTTTGATGGGTCTGTTCTTCCTTTAACAATCTCTCATCCATGCCTGCCATGCACATGATGCTGGAATGCTGTAAGCATTTATCTCAACAAGCATTCCCTACCAGAGCCCATCGGCTTTAATATACAACAGTCTCCCCAGGGCACGACTTGTCAGCTGCTTGGAGCCAGGGTTATGGAAGTCTTGGGGACATGGAGAGACTTGCATATAGGACAAACCCTTCCAAGCATCCTCTCTGCTCGAATCCTCCCCTCTCTGCCCCAGCCCTAGTGTAGTTGTTCCCACAGGATCAGTTAACTGTCCTCTTACTAAAAGAAAACAGCATAAATACAGCTGTGTTCAGATGAGTTTCCACCTTAAGGGGGGTGGATAGCAAATCACTGTACCAAGGCCTTAGGCAGCCCCAATATATGAGTCACCTCCCTCACTCTCCTAAAGGATGCTTTGCATCAGGCACTTCATCTTTCGTTCCCCAAGAACACACCACATATGAACTGTGAAATGACACAGAAGCCCTTTTTTTTTTTCCCCTGAGCCTTCTTTGTTTTTCTTCCCCATTCTTATAGGGGCAGTTTCCTACAAAATCCACTGCTGCCAGAGCCCTCGGTTCAAGTGGGACACTTAGAGGTAGCTAAATTTCATGCCTTCTCAAGTTCACTGTGTATTTTGGTACCTGCTTTCTTCCACATCTCTCATCTGAGGATGATCCCATGTATGTCACCACTGTAAATGAACACCAGAACAGAACTAATGAGGACTACGTGCCAAGTAGGTGACTGTGATTACACTTGTGCAGGCCATAAGAGGGCACACAGTGCCACTAACACATCCCACCAACCAAGATCTTCCAAGTCAGCACATACTTTTCAGGCAGGTGACTGTGCCAAATCTGTGCTATTTGGATTTTTTTAACCCCCAAAAACTCCCCATAAGAGCAGCTCACCTGTGAGACAAGTGTCTTAATTACAGCATGGGATTAGGAAAAACGATGCTCATTTTTCAAATCTGTCAGGAGTTGACATACTGATACCCCCATTGCTTGGCCCTTGCTCCTACCTCTACACTCTCCTTTTTTCCAAGACTGGCTCTTGCAAATGCATTCATGAGCGATTAGCAACTGTTAGAGTGTGAGGCTCTGCTGGCTGACACCTGCTCTACATCTGAATGGGATCTGCAAGTGAATGCTGTCTGGGACTGAAGAAGAAAAACCTGTTTTTGTCTGACAATATTTAGATGGCTGCCCTGGCCAAGGTGGAAAGATAATGGGACAAAGAAGAGATGAACAGTGAGAGGCTGGAGCTTTTTCAACTGGGTGTCATTTGTCTAGGAATTCAATCCAGTGAAGAGTTAAAGCTGAAGAGGAGAACATTGTCATCAACTAGTGGTGTAAAGGTTA